TCAAAAATATGGCGCTGCAAGCTTGTGGCTTGCGCCAAACAAATCAGGCCATCCATCACATATCTCCCCCCCATAGAAATAGGCAGACTTGTCGCCAGACCATTTACAGACCTGCAACAAGCCTGTAGGGCCCCCGTCTGTCCACAATCCAAGTCCTTCGGGGTCCAATGTGACTGGACAAGTGGGTGGGCATGGTACTCAGTGACTGCTTTCCATCATAGAGATGCATTGATTGAATGCATCTCTATGAGGACATGCTGATTGGCAAGTGTGACGTTTGGCTCTGCCCCCCACCTCCTTCGCTCAGATCAGAATTGACTATCTCAGCCAATCCAGTGTTTTCCTGAAGATCATTTGAAGAAAGGTAAGATTTAACCCTATATAAGGGGGGACGGAAACCTAAATAGTGTTTAACACATTTGTATTCCTGACCCTACAGTGTTCCTTTAAAGTTCAATTTACAGAGCTGGAAATAAAATAAGGATCAAGTAAGTTGAAGGGACGTCAGGCACCAAAATCACAATCTAAATTTTGTTATTGTGCCAGGAGTCCTTGAGGAGAGAGGGGAGTACTCAAGGGGTTAAACCACTTTCTAACTGTTTCACCACCCAGACAGCATCCGGCTTCTGTAATTGAACTTTTGGCAGCTCTATGCGGTTCCTGAAAGTGAAACTGCAGAAGCCGGATGCCGCCTGGCGGGGAATGGACAACACCACTGTACACAACTTAATTAATCCACTCTCGAAAGGTTTAACTCCCTAAAGTTGCAGCATAGTACGGTTATTTTAGTGTCTGGGGAACTGCCAGGTCCCCCTAGTTTTAACCCTACAGCTGAAAACATAGCAGTTTCAGAGAAACTGTTATGTTTACACTGCAGGGTTAATCCAGCCTCTAGTGGCTTGTCTTCCTCACAGCAGCCACTAGAGGCGCTTCCGCAATTTGCACAGAGTAAATCGCACTTATTACATGCTGGCTGTCCTCACAGACCTCAAGCGTCAAAAAAGATCTGCAGAGGAAAGCATTGAGTAATGCTTTCCTATGGGTGGGTTTCAATGCGCTCGCGCCTCGGGAGCTCACGTCAATGGAGTAATAGAGGTCACCTGTGCCACGGGAGCCCAGCACTGGATTAAGGAAAGCAAATAAATGGTTAACCATTTATTTGCTGCGGAATGCGGCCCCAGTCACCGTTTAGGTGACTAGGGCTCTATAGTGTTAGAATATATTCCTAACACTATAGTGTTCCTTTAACTCCTTAGTGACCAGACCACTTTTCTATTTTCTTACCGTTTGGTACCAGGGCAGTTTTTACTTTTTTGCGGTATTTGTGTTTAGCTGTAATTTTCCTATTACTCATTTACTGTACTCACACATTATATACCATTTTTCTAAAGATACCATTATTTTCATCATATCATATAACTTACTATATTTTTGTTTTTCTAAAATTATTTTTTTTAAACTTTCTAACTTTCACCCCCAAAATCTGTTACACATCTACAACCCCCAAAAAGCACCCGTGCTAAATAGTTTCTAAATTTTGTCCTGGGTTTAGAAATACCCAATGTTAACATTTTCTTTCTTAACATTAGCTTTTTTTTATTTTATTTTTTTGCAAGTTATAGGGAAATAAGTACAAGTAGCACTTTGCTATTTCCAAACCATTTTTTTTTTTTTCTTGACAATTAACGAAAGTTACATTTGTAACACTGATAACTGTCAGGAATCCCTGGCTAACCGTTCAACTGTGTATATATATTTTAAAAGAAGACAACCTAAGGTATTAAACTTGGGGTATTTTGACTCTCTTAATGCAACCATTTTACCACCAATCTATGCCAAATTGTAAACACAAATGTGGTGATTTTTTTTGACACACAGCAATTTAAGAATACATGTACAAAGAAAATTGCAATATGTGTTCAGCAACATCTCCTGAGTACAGTGATACCACCCATGCATGGGCGTTACCCCCTCACCCCCCGTCCTCCCGTTTTAGTGTGAGAACACAGTGCAATACCGGCGCCAGCCAGTAGGTGGCGCTGTGAATGGAGACAGGCACGGATAAGACGCTACAGCTTATCCCTGCTTCTCTCTCCTGACTGCATCTGCAGGGTTGCAGCACAGAGTGCAGCCAGAAACTCCCAGCCTGCAGATCAGGTAAGTGAGGCATGTGGGGGGGGGGGCAGCCTACAGATCAGGTAAGTGAGGGATGGGGGGAAGACAGCCTACAGGAAGGTAAAGTCAAAGGAGCAGAAAGGTTCGGTAAGGGGCAGGAGGGGTCAGCAAGGAGCAGGAGAGTAAAGTAGAAGGAGCAGAAATGCGCAGGAAGGGTCAGCAAGGAGTAGGAAGGGGCAGCAAGAAGCAGGAACAGGTAGGAGGGGTCTGCAATGAGTACAAATGTAAAGTTGGAAAAGGAACAGAAACAGGAAGGGCCTGCAAGGAGCAGAAAGGGATCAGAAAGAGAAAGGAAAAGAAGGGCGCAAAATAAGCAGAAAGGTAAAGGAGCAAAGGAACCAAGGAGGAGAGAAGACAGTTTCAGAAGAAAAAGAAGACTGTGTCAAATGAAGGAGAAGAAACTGAGATTGGAGCAGAAAGTACAAGTGAAGTGATCCCTCTACTTCATTCTGGACATCACATCATAAGGCTTTGGTACCTGGGCCTGGCAGGGAAACTTTGGGCCTTCTCATCTCCCCAGGTAAAAAAAAAAATATCAGTGTTAATGTGTTCACTTTTATTTACTGAATGTCAGGAAACACAGAGGGCCGGCATGGGTGCCGCTGATTGGCTAGAGTGGTCAGCTGGCACTCTAAGCCAATTAGTATCTCCCCATTCATAAAAACGTAAACCATCTTTATGAATCGGGAACTAGCAATTGGCTTAGAGTGTCAGCTGACCACTCTAGCCAATCAGCGGCACCCATGCCTGACATCAATCTACACTTCCTGACACTCCATTTCATAAGCTGAATACCACTGAGCATGGGCGTCCGCAGGAATTTTTCCAGGGGGGGGCATAATTGTAATGACATCCATGCTTGGTACCTTTTTGAAAGTGTCATGAAAGGGAAGGGGCATAGCCATTATCACATAAAGCCAGGGTGAAGAGCGTTTTCACAACTATGGTGTCAGGAATATATGTTTGTATTCCTGACACTATAGTGTTCCTTTAAGCAAATTTAAGGACCATTCTGGTCACCATAACAACTTCACCTAAATGAAAATGCTATGATGCCAGGAAGCCCCTGGGTGCTCGCTTTCCTTTAAGGGGTTAAATTGCTCTCAAATGGTTTAACCCCAAAGGCTTCCTCAAGCTCCAGGTCGCTCAGTGGTATTTGGCTTCTGAAACTGAGTGTCTGGAAGTGCAGATTGACGTCAGGCATGGGTGCCGCTGATTGGCTAGAGTGGACAGTTGACGCTCTAAGGCAATCGCTAGTTCCCGGTTCATAAAATATTTTAACTTTTTTATGAATGGGGAGCTACTGATTGGCTTAGAGTGCCAGCTGAACGCTCTAGCCAATCAGCAACACCCCTACCCAACGGCACTCTGTGCTTCCTGACACTCAGTAAATAAAAGTGAACACATTAATACTGATATTTTTTTACCTTTGGAGATGAGAAGGTCCAGCGTTTCCCTGCCTGGCCCAGGTACCAAAGCCTTATGATATGGTGTCCAGAATAAAGTGGAGGGTTCACTTCATTTGTCCTTCCTGCTCCAATCTCCTTTTCCTCTCCTTCATTTGACAGTCTTTTTTTTTCTTCTGACACTGTTTTCTATCCTTGGCCCCTTCTGCTCTTTTACCTTTCTGCTACTTTCTGCTTATTTTGCGCCCTTCTGCTCCTTTCTCATTCTGATCCCTTTCTGCTCCTTGCAGACCCTTTCTGCTCCCTTTTCTACTTTACCTTTGTGCTCCTTGCTGTCCCTTTCTGCTCTTTCTCCTACTTTACCTTTGTGCTCCTTCCTGCTCCTTGCAGGCCCTTCCTGCTCATTCTCCTATTTTACCTTTGTGCTCCTTCTGCCCCTTCCAGCTCATTTCTGACCTTTTCTGCTCCTTCTACTTTACCTTTGTGCTGCTTTACCTTCCAGCTCCTTGCCGACCCTTCCTGTTCATTTCTGTTCCTTTGTGCTCCTTCTCCTACTTTACCTTTTGTGCTCCTTGCTGTCCCTTCCAGCTCCTTGATGTCCCTTCCTGCTCATTTCTGTTCCTTCTCCTTTTCTTACTTTACCTTCTTGCTCCTTGTTGACTCTTCATGTAGGCTGTCTCCCCCATCCCTCACTTCCATAGGCGTGCGCACGGGGTGTGTCGGGTGTGCCTGGGCACACCCTAATCCCCGCGGCACGCCAATGGATTGAGACCGGCAGGGGAGATCTCTGGATCTCCCCAGTCGGCTCATGCCGAGCCGACGCTATCCAAGCGGCGGCTTTGGTCTAAGCCTCCATGGGCCAGTGGGGAGATCAAAGTTCTACCTCACCGGTCCACAGCAACATGGAGGGAGGCAGCAGAGAACCCGGGCTAGAGTTCACTCTACACTGAACCACCAGGGAAGGCAGCAGGACTGGGATATTAACTAATCTGCCCCCACTCCACCCAAACATACAGCACACACACACCCACAGTACCTACACAGCCCACAAACAGCACCCACACACATATTTCACCCTCGCACACACAGCACCCAGCACACTAACAGCATCCTCACAAACACACAAAACCCACACACAACACCCGCACAGCACTCACACACAAACAGCACCCTGACAAACACAAACAGCACACTAACAGGACCCGAACAAACACGCACACACAAACACCCTCTGCTGCCCCCCAGCCTCACTCCCC